TGGCAGCAAAATTTCAAATGGAATTAAAATAAACCCTCCTCAAAACTCAACTTAGAAAATGAATTTAGCAAGGTATCTCTAATTTCCAAGAAAAAACATAGCATACATCCCCGAAACAAGGGTGTCTTTTGGAAGGGATGGTGGGCGAGTGAGTTCCTTCCCTCTTTCAAATTCTCTCCTGTTTTTGATTTTCTATCACTGATGATATTGCCATTTTCACTTTCTCCACATCAGTTTTCTGCTTTGTGCTGCTGCTGTATGCTTGATTTCTGCCACCATTGAGAAGTCTGGGATTTCTACAATTTCCCACTGTTTTCATTTGATTGCTGTTCCTAGTGTTTCATGATGTATTTCTCAAACATTTTCGAGACAATTATCTGTTAAACTCATTGACTACAAATAGAAATGACTGAATGGAAAATGATCATCATAGTAAATCACATTTCATTGTGCCACCAAATGCACTACCCTATCTCTAAATTGAAAGGTACTACATGATCCGTACCCCCAAAAAAAAATAAAAGGCCAGAAAATTAAGCAATTGACTTTCCTTATGAGAAACAATGCCACTTCACTTTCAGAGGTGCATCAACTCCATGACCAAATAAGCCATATAAAAATACAAGTGTACCAAGCAAATCCATGGAAACATTATACGAAATGCAACATTGGTTTGCCAAGGACGGTCATCGAAACAAATCTTGTGTTTTAGATCTTACCAGCTACCTTGACAGTCCTACATCAGACTTAAGAAATATTTAGGCCTACAAAGACCCAAATTAGAATTAACAAATCAAGGATAAATATCCTTAAAACACAAGATAGTAAATATTATATGCCTCTCAGAGAAAAAAAAAAAGAAAAAGAAGAAAAAAGATAGTACATGTATCCATCAAATATGTGCCCATGGTCAACGCAGCATGTGTGAAGACCTCAAAGCATCATAAAGCATCATTACACACAAACTCAACTCATCAATAACACTTGAAAGATTGCATTTGTTGAAGTAGTATACTTCTCCAATCCACAATATATGCAGAAGGGAGCATCCCATTATCCCAAACGTTAAAAGGTTCTACTACCCTAAGGTCCTGAAAACCAAAACTAGTAAATCTACTATCAAACAAAATTTATGACCTAAGTTAGTAAAATACGCACACATTCTTCTCACTTCTGATTCACAGAAAATGTGCAAACTACAACACATGACTAATAAATCCAATAGAACAAGAATCATAATAAGGGTACAATAGGCACACATTCTTCCCACTTCTGATTCACAGAAAATGAGCAAAATACAACACATGACTAATAAATCCAATAGAACAAGAATCATAATAAGATGTGCCACCAACAAAAGCTGAGTCTAGTTGATACCCACTAACAATGTA